AATAAAAAAAAAAAAAAAAAAATAGAGGAGCATGTGCGTGGGCTAAGTAAGCAGTTGGGGGCGGATTGGTTTGAGGAGGCAGTCTCTGTGTTGGCCCCTTCGGCTTTTGAGCTTTGAGCCCTCTCCTCTTCTTCTTCCTCTCTTCATTCCTCCTACTTTCCCTGTAAGTATCGAAGCTTTTTCCGTTCCCTTCTCTTCTTCAGGCTTCTTCCTAATTTTCCAGTGTTTACATTCCGCAATCTCCTTATTTCACTGAATCTTTTGATGGATTGCTATATTTTGTTGCAGATCACTTTCGGAATTCGACTATTTCGGTCCGGTTGTTGATCGATTGTTGAAGGTTCAAAATCTGTAATCATCCAGGTCAATCTCCTCTTCAGCTACTATCTTCCATTTTCTTTTTAATTTTACGTAATGCTGTAGCGCCTATGAACTTCCATTTCTTTTTTGGGGTTGGGAATGCTTGCAGCTCTGCCTAAATATGCACCATTTGATATTATTGGGAGTACTTGATCATACAAGTGTTGTTTTCAGAATTATAGGAAAGAGCAATGCTCTTGAGTCTATTAAAAAAAAAGTGATACTCATTGGAGTTGGTCTTTTTAATCATTCAATTTGGTGTGGCTTCTTTCAATACTCATTGGTTCTTCAATTTTTATTTTGTTTGTATGGTAGCTCTATTCATAACCATTATATACAGCCACGATGTTTCTGGATGTCTATTAATTCATGATCTTATTGCTATTGCTTTGATGGCTGTCTAAACTTTGCTAACTACAAAACATTACAAAATTAGTTAGAACGAGAGACAATTGAAAACCCCTAGATTCCTTTGTTATAGAAATCTAATGGGAAAGATTGAACCCAGCCAATGCCCTAACCTTCTCCCAAGAACTGTCTGCATCTCTATTTTTTCTAGCCAAATTTTTTCTAAGATGGAAATTGAGTAGCTTGCCGTAGTGCGTCCCCCCGTCCCAAAGTGTAACAGGTCAAGCCACCGCTAGTAGATATTGTTTGTTCTCTTTGGTCTTTCCCTCAAGGTTTTAAAATGCATGGATAAGGGAGAGGTTTCCACACTCTTATAAAGAATGCTTTGTTCATCTCTCCCACCAATGTGGGATCTCACAATCCACCGCCATTGAGGACTCAATATCTTCGTTGGTACACTGCCTGGTGTCTGACTCTGATACCATTTGTAACAACCTAAATCCAACGTTAGCAGATAGTGTTCTAAAACACGTCTGTTAGGGAGACATTTCCACACCCTAATAAGAAATGTTTTGTTCCTACCTCCAACCAACGTGGGATCTCACAACAAATAAAGTTAAAAGTAAAGTTAGGGTGAAAAATAGAATAACTCCCTTCCCCCATCATATACTAGCAAGATTGGCTGCAAGCCATTTGCTTTCAAAAGCCTGAAAGAAAAAGTCTTCAATTGCACTTAAAAACAAATTGTCATCCCAAAAGAACATGCACCATATGCTTCAAAGCACTTTTACAAATATTGCAGTACTAGGATCCACAAAGAAGAAAAGAAAATCTTTGCATGAGGTCGATAGTGTCAATCCTCATGTGAGAATCTTACTGGGTGAAAATGCTAACATTCTTTGTATTGTCTGTTGAGGGTTGTTGGAAGGGAGTCCTACATTGGCTAATTAAGGAGATGATCATGAGTTTATAAGTAAGGAATACATCTCCATTGGCATGAGGCCTTCTAGGGAAACCAAAAGCAAAACCACGAGAGCTTATGCTTAAAATGGACAATATCATACTATTGTGGAGGTCCATGATTCCTAACATGGTATCAGAGCCATGCCCTTAACTTTGCCATGTCAAAAGAATCCTCAAGCGTCGAACAAAAAAGTTGTGAGCCTCAAAGGTGGTGTAGTCAAAGGTGATTCAAGTGTTGAACAAAGGATGTACTTTGTTAGAGGACTTCAGAGAAGGAGTCGAACCTCGATTAAGGGGAGGTTGTTTGAGAGCTCCATAGATCTCAGGGGAGGCTCTGTGGTGTACTTTGTTTGAGGGGAGGATTATTGAAAGTTGTTGGGAGGGAGTCCCACATTGGCTAATTAAGGGGATGATCATGGGTTTAGAAGTAAGAAATGCATCTCTATTGGTGTGAGACCTTTTGGATTTGGAAAAACCAAAATCAAAGCCACGAGAACTTATGCATAAAGTGTCCCTATCATACTATTATAGAGGTCTGTACTTCCTAACATTTTCACTTCTTAAACCGAGGAGAACAAAGAGGGAGTGGAGGTGAGGTCTAGCTAAAGGTAAACTCTCAATAAAGATTAGACGACCAACAATTAACATCCCTACTCTGGGGCAAGGACGTAATGCTTGCAACTGAGTGATCAAAGAAGGAGAATAATTATACAACACTCTGGAAGAAGAAGCTCCGAACGCATCAAGATTAACATTGTCCCATTATTTCCAAATGTCCCCACAGATATTGCGATTATCTCATTCGATTGGCTATACATGTATTATTCCATTTACTTGCACCAATTTATACCCACAGATATCTAGCGGTGGGTTTTACCACTGTGCACTCTTTTTTCCTTATTCTTGGATCTTCAGTTTAAAGTTTGATCGACGTACCTAACGAACTCGCAAAAGAAACAATAATGGCACTGTTCAATAGTTTCCTTAGTCTCACAATAAGTCCCCAAGGCTCTGGTCGGTATCCGAATGGAAACATAGCAGGCTACATGAATTCATACTTGAATGCAACTTGTCTTGACCTCTAACTAGAGCTCATCTTTTTTATGTAAATACTCACTGAAGAAAACCTGTGTTCTTTTCAGGTTTCCAGTTTTTTAATTTTCCACAATTGATGAGTTTTTGCTGTTAGATTGAAGCTTTCACTTCAACATGAACCCTTACTCTGAAGATAGTGTAAGCTGCTAAAGTTCTAAACCTTGGTGTTTTCATCAACCAATAATATGAAATGGGGATTTAAAGATGTATCCTTTCTACAGGATCGGACCACCGTAGTTGGTTTCGAAGTCCCGAAGTCCCCCGATTCAACCTATAACAATGAATACCATGGGACCGAAGACGAGGCACATGATCCACCATTTGTCCCACCTCATTTGCAGCACACCTTACTCAGCCACCCAGCAAGTAGAGATACCAGTGGAACTCTTCCATTGCCTCAGAATGTAATTCTCAACCATCTTTTTATCGAAAACCGAGACACCCCACGTTCCGTTGTAGCTCTTGGATTCACACACCGTTTTCATTCAAAATACGTCACGGTTGTGCTTTACAAACCAGTTCACAGAACAGGAACTAGCCGAGCTTAGTTATGCACATACATCAACAACATTCACTAGAATGACATGGCTACATGGATTTAGCAGTAGAAAATGTTTATGACATGTGATATGTCATTGAAGTTAGAGTGGAAGCATATAACTTCACCAAGTAAATGAAGGCTGACAACGTAGATATTGTACCTCTATTTCTTTTCAACTCTTCACTGCAGTAATTGAAAACATTCAGACTGCTAAATATGCAAATTCTTGACATGAACTTCCAGTCAGCTTTTTTCTGTTCTTAATCTTATTTAATCTCCGAGTTCAGACTCGAGCCACAAACCACCAATGGGTCTAGATATGCGCGAATAAGACGTGCAAGTTACCGAAAACAATTAAAGTTTGCTGTATCTTAGGTCTTACTTCCTCTTCAATGGCTCACACATTAAAGTTTTGGTCGATTTTAGTTCCTACAAGTTAATGTTGTCTGCCTCAGCCTTCTAGTTTTTATTGAACCTTAAACTGATATCATTTCCAAAGAGTTTACTTTTGGAGGCGAAGTCCGTGACATAGAACCCAAAATTTAATACCCCTGCCGCCTTGCATTAAGGAGGACCACACATGATTTCGATATGTCGTCCAGAAATTCCAGATCAGTTATATGTCGTTTGTTGGATTCAAAGCCAACACTCCCTAAAGATCATTAAGAACTACAAAACTTGCTAGTTGGGTGAGCTAAAAAAGGAGTGGATTTGTTAGAAACTCACGAGAAAGGCCACCTCTCCTCGACACCACCCTTGAGAGCCCAGTGAATGCAAAGCTGGTGCCATATCTGCCTGCTCCAGCTGCTCACGAGCTCATTTAAAGCTCTTTTTGCCCTTTTTAAACCCTCTGCGCCCACTCCCAACACAACCCAACCCAACCCGTAAACTCAATAGCTATGGCTTCCCTTTTCCCATTTCTCTTTTATCTCCTCTTCTTACTTCTTCTATCTTCTCCTTCCCCATCAATGGCTGCTCGCTGCGTCCCTCCCAGCGCGCCCAGCACCATTGTTACGCCCCTTGCCACTCCCGAAGCGGAAGACTATGAGACCGTCAAGCCTCAGCTGAATCGGAAGAGGCTTGTTTTTGGTGGTAATGAAGTCAAAAGCTGCCTCCCTAAAGGCTTCCGCCGCTCCTCTGCGCCTAGCCGCTTTGTTAACTATCATACTTCTGGTGGCTGTTCTTCAACCACTGATCATTCCATTAATACGCCTTGAAAATAAACAATTTTTGTTGTATATGCTTTCTGTTGTTCTTCACCATCTTTTTATATGTTAAGAGATTTCTTATTTATCTCTCTCTCAATATATATATATAATTTGTTCTCCAAAGATTGTGGAAACTCAGGTCATCAACCTTGATTACATATATGATTACAATTCTTATGTTATCTTACTCAAAGTCACTCCCCGATATTTGTTTCGGTTTCAATTTATTCGTTAAATTTGTTAAATTATAAATTTAGCTCGGGAACTTTGATATATGTATTTATTTGGTTTCTTTCAAATTTTATGAGCCAGATAAGAACACTAATAAATTCAAAATTTATGAACTTGCATTTTATATTTAATAAAAATTTTAATTTTAAATTTTAATTCTAGTAAATCTAAATTTTTAAAAATTTAAAATTGGTAATTTTAAAAGTTGGGTACCAAATAGAATTTGTAATTTATTTATTTTTTTTCCAATTTTAAATTTATGCTAATTTAGTAAATATTATGTTACACAATCAATTAATTTTAAACATTACCCAAATATATGCGGCTAAATTTAAATCTAAAAATAAAAAATTAAATTAAATTTTTTTTAAACATAAAGACCACCTCAAACAACATTAAAACTTTTACCAAAATTTAGGTTAATTAGCTAATTATGCTATCCTAAAAATATTTTTATTCTTTAAAAAATTAAATTATTGTAGTTTATAAATCTAGAACCCACGGGCTCTCGTGTTCCGCCGCCCGCATTTATTTGAGACGGCGGCGTTCAGATGGTTGATGAACCGGTTCATAGCTTTATCGGATGATCCATTGGGTTTCACGGCGTCTTCCAACGTCTTCCTCACTTCTCTAACAGCAGTTCTATACTGACTCCCTGATTTAAGATCCATCAGACGGTTGATCTTCTCCGAAACCTTTTCCTTCGATATCATCTGCCGTCCATCTCTCAGGTTAATCCCAACCGTCCAATCCTCCACCACTAATTTCCGATTCGTGAACTGATCAGTAAGCAAAGGAAAACACAACAATGGTACATTACACCAAATGCTTTCCAGAATCGAATTCCATCCGCAGTGACACAAGAACCCTCCGATTGCCGGGTGAGCCAGCACTTGATTCTGACGGCACCATGTCACGATCATCGAACGCTCACCCACCTCCTTCCGGTACCCGACAGGCAACGGATCGGTGTCGTTTGAGCTCACAATGTCGGGTCGGATCACCCAAATGAAATGGACCCCACTCAGTGAAAGCCCATGAGCGATTTCGGCGAGGTCCGTCTTGGAGACGTGGGCGTAGCTTCCGAATGAAACGTAGAGGACCGAACCATGGGGCTTGGTGTTTAGCCAGTGGGTGCAGTCGGACTCGGGCCATAGGCTGGTTGCCACGGAGGATTTGGTGAAGCCACGTGGGAAAATGGGCCCGATGGCGTAGAAAGGGATTTGGGCTTGTAGAGCGGATACGGTGTCGTTTTCCAACTCTTGTACGGTGTTGCATAACACGAAATCTGCAGCTTTAACGTCGTGAAACGCTGCGAATATGATTTGATGACAAACCGACGTCGTATCAGTCTCTTGCAAATACGACATCGTATCTTGTGGATTGATTGGGGGTACACCTGGTATGTAATCTATAGCGTCCCGTCGAACGTCTGATTAAGATTTAATTACAATTAATATATAATTTAAGTAATGATCATAACTTATAATAAAAGAATACTATCTTCATTAGTATAAAACGTTTTGAAAAAGTCTAAAGCAAAGCTATGTTAGATAATATCATATCAGTGTGAAGAATCGTATTCATTTAACAAAAATAAATTATCTGGTCGAGAAGCCTAAAAAGTCTAAAGTAAAGCTATATTAGACCAGTAAAGTAAAGTGTGGAGAGTCGTGTTTATTTAACAAAAATAAATTACCTCGACATTCAAAATGGCGGTTCTTGCGGAGAAGATTCAAGTGATAATAGAGCGAAAAAACCAAGGCGGGTTCCGTCCAAAACGAAACATAAAGGAGATTAAACTTCTTGGCTACCTTCGACGGCCACACGAAGAACGTATCCGCTATAAGACAACTCACCGGCGCCGCTCCTCCAGACGACGCCGTTTTCACAATCTTCTCAACTTCCTCCTCCACGTGGGCGGAGAATACATGCAACAGCGACCCCATAAACTGGTCATGGTTCAGCGAGCGATCGAATCCCAGTGGAAGGCCGTCCGACACGGTTGTGTACCGTATATCCAGCCCGGAGTTCCGTACGCCGGAAAACAAATCATCGAGGGGTGTGGAATGGGCGGTGGAGGTTTGGTGGTGGATGGCGTGTGTGTTGATGAAGGTGAGGGTGAAGCCACGTGCCGCGAGGTGAGTGGCCAAGTGGACGGAGGGGATGACATGGCCTTGTAGAGGGTAGGGAATGAAAATTGCGTGGGGGTTTTGGTTGTGGTGGTCCGATTGTAAGGCCATTTTTAGGTTCGATTTTGTGTTGCCTTTAACCCTAAACGTTAATTATGATAAACACAATGAATTTATAAAGGGTATAATGGCAGCCATTGCTGAAAGAAAAGGAAGAAGATTGAAAATCGCCTTTAAGATTCACCAATTACAAGAGACCATAAGGAGACCAAACTAAAGTCACGTTTGACGACAAAGGATAAAGGTTGACCAACCAAGCGGTGTTTCGTGTCTTTTTTCTTTCATATCTATCCTTAACTACGTACCTTTGGAATCGAAACTTTCGACTTCATTGTAAATATAACTTTGAATTCGTCTGGAGTTCACCCACTGGCTCAACTCGAGCCACAGTCATATAAACCAAAACACATCAATCATACTATATATTTTAATGAAGATGTGAAGAAAAGGTTGTCAAAATTATCAAAACATATTTCAATTCATGCCATATTGAAGAAGAATGAAGTGTTTGATTGTTATAAATTTTGGGTGGGTTACAATTTAGAGTAATTAAGAGTTATTGTATTTTAAGACTTTTTATTTAATTTCGGTTACATTTACATAATGGCTAGTTATGGCCATAAAGTATGAATGTTACCACTATTGGAATGTCTAGTTTCATTTTTGAGGCTATATAAAGTCTTGTATGTTGTATTTGTAAACGGACTTGGAAAATATAGTAAAAGAAGTATTTGTGCTCTTCTTTAGCCCATGACTAAGTTTCCTTGCAATTCTATGTAATTTAGGTTGCATGTAGAATCATTCAAGCTCGACATGATCAATCTTGCTTGTGGAGTGATTCGAATCTCAAGCAATGTTCTTGCCTTGAGATATTCAATCAACAAGGTAATCCGAATCTTACTTCTCTTATAGTGATTTTTCCATATCACACAGGCTGCCCCATTGTCTCATGTTACCTAGAATTGAAAGAAAAACTTTGTGTCGCCATGTCCCATTGCGGTCTTCTTTAGGTTTTACAAGGTTTTTTCTTTCTTTCTATTTTGGGTATTTGCCATCGCTACTCACGAGCTCTGTGACAATAAATGTTTGTGTTCGCGTGACAAAACTCTATAAATGTCACTATACATATTTTTGTAAGCTAATATAGAGATATCTACCTTATTTAATGAAAATTTTCATTCTATTTACGGAAATTAAGGAGAATAAAACAGGAAACAATTTCTTATTCTATTGGAAACATAGAATTAGGATATAAAAAATGGAGGGTGGATCAAGCATTAACTACATCCTTAATAGCGAAGGGACAAAGAATTGAGAATAAAAGGTACCAAAACAGTTGGAAAGACATAACTTTGCCGTTGGGTTTTGGGAACAAAACACTAGTTAAGTTTTGCACATGAACTTGTCACCTTGCCTTGTCTTTAACCTATTGTCCCACTCTCGACATTCGACATTATTGTCCTTCGCTCTACAGTTCTCCTTGTCCATAGCTGAGTTTAAAATGGTTACGATCCCTTCAAAACATGTTTTTAATCCTATAAAATTAATTAATTTTTTTTAATAACTTTTAATAGAAAAAAATATATATATTGCCTTGATTATTTAATGTCGCTCATACATTCATTAGATGTAACATATTTTTATTAAGAACTATAATTATTGGAAGAAGACCATCTTAAGAGTCAGTTATTTAGTTTCAAAATATTGGAATAAATTGGAAAAATAGTCCCTATTAAATTGAAGCAAGCAAGGCCCCATAATGATACGAATTAAAGCCATGTCCGAGGGCACTCTGTCGAGTTCAAATTAAGAATAAATAATAACATGTGTCGACTAACATCGAAATCTTATTGGTCCATGTCATCAGGCACTACCCAATAACCGATGTTGATTAGTCCATGTCATCAGGCAGCACCCAACCGCCGAGGATGTTGACGCTCAATCTCAATATAATATTTATCATATAACAAACATAAAAATTGCGTAGAATTCATAAAATAAAATAATATACCATTAATGTTATGTCATTTAGTATATGTTATAAAAAAAAATTATTTGGAAGAAAAGAATGGATAATATCGTAAAATTTTCCCTCTAATTTAATTACAGGTGGATTTAAATCTTAAAGGCCCTGCCCTGATCTCCTGCCCCTGCCCCACAAGTTAAAACATGTCTGACCCTTTAATAATTCTATGTAGGTTTACTAACAACAAATCCACATCCAAATCGATCAAACATAGTATTGTCAATATTTGTTATTTGTTTGAAATGGTCGACATACCACATATATATATATATATATTTATTTATTTATTTATATATCGTTTTAATTTAGTATTTTTAATTACTTTTATTTATTTATTGAGTTGAATAATTAAATAATGGAAAATTAAACCATCCACAATCTAAATAATAATAAATGTTTTTTTTTTTTGGTTAATTTATGTTCAGACAAACAAATTAAAATAAAATAAAATTTTTGCTTTTTGCTTGTATCACATATTGTTGGATGATGAAAGTCTCACATCGGCTAATTTAGGGAATGATCATGGGTTTATAAACAATTAATACTCTCTCCATTGGTACGAGGCATTTTGGGGAAGCCCAAAGCAAAGCCATGAGAGCTTATGCTCAAAGTGGACAATATCATATTATTGTGGAGAGTCGTGTTCGTCTAACACATATAACACCAAATCTTCAAAACTTTCTTTTCAAATTTCTGTCTCCATTTTCTAAAATTTTCTTCTTAAATCGGGGCTAGAGGCTCGAGTATACGTCGCAACGAATTGACTTAACTTACTTGTTGCTGGAAAATAAAGTAAGTCCGCTAACATTAAAAATGTGATTGCCTAAAAATTGCCTAAAAAAAATAAAAAGGGAAACAATTGTACATTTATAAATTAAATAGAAACTAATAAAATGGCTGGATTTTCTTGGAAAGAAACTGAGAGGAAGGTGGGAATTAATTGTGAGTTTTTTTTTCTTCTTTTTTTGGAGTTCGAATTAATAATTGTTGTAGGGACACGTGTGGCGATCTGAAAATGAATTAATTGGGCCGGTGGGCCGGGCTGGTTCGGAGGGGCCGAGAGGCGGTTGCGGGTTAAAGAGGTGGATCGGGTGTACAACCAAGCATTTGGAATTGTACAACGCCTTGTCTGTACTTTGAGTTGTGTATTTATAGCTATACGTGTCTCTTCACACGCCCTCCATCTAAACCCCTTCCAACGGTCCAGATCTCCTTCTCCAATCTATTTTCATAATATTCTTCTTTTTCTTTTAATTTGACGTAAATTAATACCGTTAAATTAGTTAAAGACCAAAATTAGATATAATTGAGGTTTATTGGACAGGGAGACAGACATGACTTCCAATAGAGACGTTTCATGGAGTGGTGAGAGCGACGAAGTCACATGGCATGCTCTTCAAACCCCATACTATAAATTCATTCAACACCCACATTACCATTATCATCGATCCAATGACTAAGCTTGTGACCGTAGCCATGAAGAAGAATGGCATTGTCAAGCTCAAGTCCGCCGTTGGGAAGCTGCAGAGAAGCCTCTCCTTAGGTCGGAGGTCTGATTCTGGTCAAGATGACTTCGATTACGACTCGACTCCGGTACCGGAGGATGTCAAAGAAGGACATTTTGCAGTTGTGGCAGTTGATGCTGAGGAGCCGAAACGGTTTGCTGTTCCGTTGAGTTGCTTGACGAATCCGACGTTTTTGAGACTGTTGGAGGCGGCGGCTGAGGAGTATGGATTTGATCATGAGGGTGCAGTGACCGTGCCATGTCGGCCGAGCGAGCTCGAGCAGATCTTGGCCGAGGAATAGGAGGAGGAGGAGGAGGAGGAAGAGAAGAAACGTAATGTGGGGTTTTGAAGCTATTGAAATGACCCAAGAGGATCAAGAGGTTGTTTTTTTTGTAGCTTCAACACTTCAGGGGCTTTGTAAAACTTTTTACCTATGGAAAATTTGATATTTTGAGAATGGCTAACAAAAGTTCATAGCCATTTGACATGTTGATTTTGTGTTGTGTTGTGTTTAATTTGGTGTAATTTTTACTTTCATGCACGTGTTTAAAAATGGTGTATCGTTTTTTCTAGTTTTTTTTTTTTATGTAACTCTTTAAGTGTCTACTGTTTGTATGCTTGCTTGTTATAATTTTTTGTAAGCTCGCTTGTTATAATATTTGTCACTGATATTACCTATCTTATATACTAGTATTATGAACCATAGTATTTAACTTTTATTTTCTAAGCTTATTTGTTAAAATTGATACAATCACGTGTGAATGTTATCTATTTTTCATGTTTATTTGTTATGAGGTCTATCATGTAGCAACAAATTAAAAAAAAAAAAAAAGTGTAAATTCGTAACATTTTTAATTTTGTTTTCCATGGGTGATTATTTATATGTTCATTTGATATTTGATCCATCATTGATATATCATGCCAATAAATACAAAAAGGTATAATAATGAAGTTTAGATATATATATATATACACGTGGCATATATTTATATTTTTAATATTAGCTATAACTAATTAGCCTCCATACCAACCAGACCAAAGTTCATGCCAACATAAACCCCTAATCACTCGGGTAAGCTTGGTGAGTCTCAGAATGGCCCAAATAAGAAACAAGACCGATATATTTCATTCAACGAGAAAACCCAAAAATATAAGATCGTCTGTTCATATTCGCATGGTGTCTAAAAAGAAAATATTGGACATGGCTCTATCAAGGTTGGCTCAAAAACCAACCAACTCATATATATATATATAGGGTACACGAAAGATTAAACAAAAACATCACCTACTAGGCCCAATAACAAAGCCCATCAGTGTTCAGACCCACCGCTCGTCTTGTGGTCACATCACGTACATGCTGGCCGAGCCGTGGCGTGATACGACACCACATTCAAGCCGAGGTATATGGTATTGATTTTAACGGCGTAAACCCGCGATTTTAGAGCTTTAATCAGCTAATCCAGCCTTCACCTTCAAGTGTTCCTTGAAGTCCATAATGTCACCCTCCCACTTGATTACAGCTTGATTTTCGCATACCCATATCTCCTGGGCCACTTGGTTAATAAGCCTAAAATCATGGCTTACAAGAACCAATCCTCCATCCCACTCATTTAGTGCCTCTGCCAGCGAGTCGATTGTCTCGATATCCAAGTGATTAGTGGGCTCATCAAGCAATAATAAGTGGGGTTGTCTCCATGCTAACCACGCAAAGATAACACGGCTCCTCTGCCCATCGGACAAATTTTTCATCGGCATCACTTGGGCTTTACCGGAGAGCCCGAACTTCCCAATTGCCGCTCTCATCTTCTCCTCTTCATTTCCTGGGTACTCTTTTATCATGAACTGGAGAGCAGACATTTCCAAGTCGAGTTTATCAGCTAAATGTTGATGAAACTGGGCAATTCTAAGGTGATTATGTCGTCGGACCATGCCATCTAGAGGAACCAGCTCCCCTGTCATCAGCTTCAACAGGGTACTCTTTCCAGCACCATTGGGTCCAACCAAAGCTATCCGAGAGTCCAAATCAACTCCAAAGTCGATGTTCTTATAGATGAGATTATCAGGGGTGTAGCCAAATGTTACTTCCACGAACTGAAGAACTGGAGGGGGAAGCTTCCCAACATCAACAAAGCGGAAGACAAGAACCTTGTCTCTCACTACCTTTTCAGTAAGCCCACCCCTCTCCATCTTTGCCAGTGTTTTCTCCTTACTCTGAGCCTGCCGTGCTAATTTTGCTGACCCATGCCCAAATCTGGCAATATACTCTTTCATGGAAGCAATCTGATCCTGCTCCCACTTGTACATTTTCATCTGATTCTCTTCCAGTTCAGAACGGGTCTGAACATACTGATCATAGTTACCCGTGTAAAGCTTTAATTTTCTGTTCTGCATGTGTATAATGTTTGTGCAGACACCGTTAAGAAAGTCCTGGGAATGTGAAACCACAACCAGGATACGGTCAAACTTCTTCAAGTTTTCTTCTAGCCAGACACAAGCCTCTAGATCTGTCATTCGGGAAATTAACAAAGATACTCGTCAGACTATTAATTAATACTCTTGAATTCAACCGCTGTTTCTAATTTCGATGGAACGTTTAGCAGTAGCACAAGGAAGAATTGTGTGTCAATTATACATGACATAAAAGAACATTGAACCAAACAAATATACCTAGATGATTGGTTGGTTCATCCAGTAAAAGGATGGTGGGGTTCATGAATAGGGCACGAGCTAAGGCAATCCTCATCCTCCAACCACCAGAAAAATCCCGTGTTTTCTTCCCTTGCATCTGCTTGTTAAACCCAAGACCATTAAGAATTTCAGCAGCACGTTTTTCTGCAGTTGATGCGTCCATTGCTTCTAAACGTTCATAGATACGATCAAGCTGCTCTCCGCCTCCATCCTCCTGAGTTAAATAGAACAGCAGATAATGAGCACTAGTAAATTTTTAGAGCGTAGAAACTCGATTTTAATAAACATACTTGTGCAGCCAAGGATTCTGCCTCCTTCTCCAACTTCAACCTCTCCTCATCACAACTCATCACAGCTTCAAGTGAAGACATGTCAGAAGCTTCAATCTCTCGTGTAAGGTGATATATATCCATATGTTCTGGAATAGGAAGCTCTCGACAACCAATTGCCGAGAGAAGTGTAGATTTACCACATCCATTTAATCCAAGCAAGCCATAACGTCTGAAAAATAAATTGTAAACATTAAGCCTAACCACAAGAATCCATGTGGAAATGGAATTACTTATGCCAGAAATAGTTAAAAGCAAACCTGCCGTAATTGAGCTCCAGCTCGGAATCAACAATAAGGTCATGCCCATGAAAGGTCACTGTCAAAGATTCTATCTGCAAAAAGCACACATGTAAGGATATTACTAGAATCATCACTCACACTTCCCTAATGGCACGACACTACTTCCAAAGATCACCAAGGAAAATAATCGAATGCTAAGGTTCAATATTCTTGGGCTAAAGAGTCATAGGAGATCTCAACCTAACCTACTGACGCATTATCCAACAGCACAACTATTCTTTTTAAATAAAAGAGAATTAAAGAACACTAATCACCACCTAACCTAATGGCGCATTATCCAATTGAAAATTCATCCATAAGCAACTGTTTCAATTAATTACATGGAGGAAAAAACTATACAACGTAGAATAATTTATTGCCAAAAACTGAAAGCAATAGAACACTAAGGAAGGCTACACAAGTTCCGCAAAAATAGGCACCATTTGAAGAATAAACATATATAAAAAAGTAATATAGTCTACAGTTCTTTATGATATTCTTTTTAAAAGAAGCACTCAATAGATTTACAAGAATTTGATTCTAGAATAAAATTAGGGCTTACTCGGATGTCTCTGGAGAGAGGATGAGAGCAAAGCACACCAGTACAAGTCCGATCAGATAATTGAAGAGCGTCCACTCCATTAGCCAACTTATCAACTCCATTCTGCGAATTGGCCGCTGCAGCCTTGGAAGAAGCGGCAGCCGCCGCTGCTTTTCCTCCACGCTTGGCCGCCGCAGCCGCCTTCTTCTGAGCAGCTTTCTTCTTGCTCGCGTCGGAAACCATCCTTAACCTGGTTCAAAAAAAAAAAAAAAAAATCAATCACCAAACAGAAACCCTAAAAACAATAGAAACAAAATAAGAGACATCGTGAAGAATCCCGAACACATATACATACCTGGGGAAATTGATAAAGAACAACCACGCAAAAGTGACACCGAGCGAGCGAGCGAGAAGAGGAAGAAATCGGTCTTCGTCTCCCACGGCGCTTTTGTTCTGCGCTTTTTATCGAACCTGCGACGCGTAATGCGATGCAGATGGAGGGTTCGAGGTACTGCCGATCAGGAGGCTGAGGCTTCCTTTTTATAGGCGTGCTGATGTCTCCACGTGTCTTTCACGAACAATTTCTTCTGGTTGCGTAGCCGACTGAATTAGTTATTCTAACGCCCTCGTGAGGGCATATAAGACAATTTACTTTGTATTGGTATTGGGCTGCACTTTAAAAGTTGGCCCAATTACAATTCGGAAGCCCATGGGCCTGCACTTTAAAAGTTGCAACCAAACGGAAAGGCCCACTTCGTCACATTGATCACAGTCTTCTCCCAATTTCTTCCCTTCTGGAGCATCTCTGGTTTTGTTGATTCTCGTCTTCCGATCCTCCATTGCGCTTCCTTTCGAGGTAATCATATCACTCTGCATTCATTGCTTTACTGTGATGCTGCTCCTTCTCTGCTTTCGTTTTTCTGGTGAACTGGGAGCGATTAGTTGATTAATGCGTTTAGTTTCATTGTTTTTGAGCTTAAATGAACCACTAATTTCGATTCGGTTACTTTCTTTTCTAGGGTTTTATCTTTTGTCGTTGTTTCTCTGTTAGACCCGCCATGGTAGGACAGGAAGCAATTCGGCAAGCTCTAGAAACAACAGACCTATCCAAAACTCAAAAACGAAGTAATAGAAAATGTTAAACACGAAATTGGAAGATGGGTTTTCGAATTAGGGTAGAAAGAGAGAAAAGAGGAGGGAGGCTGCGTATCACTTCTTAGAATTGAGATTTCTCAAAATTCTGAACTAATTCTCTAAATTTATGTTGTTGAATGTCCTTATTTGAATAAATTATCTGATGGGCTGCTTATTATTCATTGCAGAGAAGTTTCGGTCTTTGGGAAATCGATTGTTGTTACATTATCTTTGTGGGTTCTTGGAGCTCATCGATTGATGATTCAAGGTTCAAAACCTCTAACCATTTAGGTCAGGCTCCCATAAGCTGCAATATTTGATTTTCTTATGCATTCTACAATACTGCAACGCTTATGATGTTGATTAGATTTCGCTTTTTGATTGAAAATGACTATACGGAAGCCTAAATTTACTCCATCAGATGTTATGCATACCCTTATAGAGTGTTCATTGTGTTAATGAATGATTTCATCACATGAGTAATCAGATGTTTGCTGGTTTTATAAAATGAAATGGTTCTAAAACCTTGTAACTTATTGCAGTTTTTTGGTTCTCTGTGTGAATCTATCATTCAATTGTAACTTGTAAGGGATGCTTTTTTAAGGTTGGGCTTAATGGCACACTTTGTTTTCCAGAGTATGAACATTAATGGGATATTTTAACATTTTGGATAGGTGATTGGAAGGGGGATTTTGAACATCTAACTGTTGGGAATGACAGTATTAAAGCGCTACGTGGTACGATTATTCATATCTTTAAAGTATATAACCGCAAATGTGGTAGATAGAAACAATGGACGGATTGTCGCAACTGCATCCACAGTTGAACACTCCATCAAGGGTTCACTTGAATGTGGGCGGTCTTGTAATGCTAAGGCAGCAGCAGTTGTTGGAGAGGTGTTGGCTATGCGACTCAAAGTCGATGGTCTCGAACAGGGGCAAGGAAGAGGGATTCACATGGACATAAACAAGGAAATCGAAAAGAAAGGCTTCAAAAACCGCACAAAAATCTGGGCTATAGTCAACTCACTCAAGAACAACGGTGTTAAACTTATTCTCGACAACAATGACGATGATGCATCTCGGCCAAGTTATGAGTAAGTATCCAAAAGCGATCAAAATAGTCCTTGGCTGGGAAAAAAGGAGGCTCGGCTTGAGCTCGAGCTTGCCCAGTCACCATGAAAGATTAGATGCAGCTAAATGGAAGGAACTATGTTTATTAGTGGCAAAGTGATAGTGATAGCATCCAACTTTGGGCAATGATGTTATCACAGTGAAATGGTCTAATATGATCATTATATTCTCCACTTTTTGGTTACCTGTTCCTTTTACTTGTTTAAGAACTGGCTTGATATTAGGTTTGGGAAGGCCAAAAGTTGGACTCTTTAGGTTAGGTTACTTTCTTTTTGTTAGACAAACACGACTCTCCGTAGTAGTATCATATTGTCCACTCTCATGACTTTGCTTTGGGATTTCCGAAAATGCCTCATACCAATGGAGAGAGTATTTCTTGATTATAAACCCGATCATTCCCTAAATTAGCTGATGTGGGACTTTTCTTTTCATCCAACATCTTCCATCCGGCTGTCTCTTTCTTTCTCGAGCTGTCTGACTTAGGTATTTCAAATAATATTCCATTTCTTAAGAGCTTGATTATGAACATCTTCTGATTGTTAATGCCTAGGAAAAATAATAATATGGTATTGTTATGAGTAATTTTATTATTTAATTTTTTATAATTGACTATTTTATTTTTATTGAGCTAGATTATTATAATAGTTTTAACTAATTTAATTTTGATTCATTCGTTTTATATTAAATGAGGTAAAGTATATTACAAAATTTATATATGGTATGTTAATTATATTAAATGAGATTAAGTATATTACAAAATTATATAAATAAATAAAATAAAATAAAAAAAGTCAAAAGAGTTGTATATATATAAAAGGAAACAAACTCAGGCAAATGAATTGGGAACAAAATATGCCGAATTACATTTATTTAAAAGAAAAAAAAACTATATTTATTACATAACTGTGCAGGCATTCGGATTCTCATCGCTAAACATTTGAGACGAAGGCAAATGTTCTCCAACGAATCCACCATGACCGTACCCGTACCCGTACCCGTACCCGAACCCGTACTCATAACCCGGAGCCGGAACTGCCATGTAATCAAGTCTGTCGCCGTCCGTTTCTCCGCCGCCGTCCTCTTGAGTGACCTCTCCGCCGCTTTTGTTCTTGTCGCCGCCATCTCCGTCGTCATTGTCCTTTTTGGGTACCACCACTGCAACTTTCCGCTTCAGTTTGTCTTCCAAATTGTGAACCAGAGCCTTGACGTCCATTTTCCCTTTCACCGTAACCAAATCCTTTTGTCTCTCCATCGCCATATCCTCCACTCCTGCAAAAAAAAAAAAAAAAAAAAAAAAA